GAAGAGGGGGGCGCGTCCCTCTCCGCCGGTCACCCTTTTCCCACTGAGGCCTCTCGGGCGGCGGCGAGTGTGGGCCCGCGGCGCGGGTCCTGCGGCTCAGTGCTCTGCGAGAGTGGTGCCCTAGTCCGCCCCCATCCCCCCGCCCCGGTGTTTCAGCTTCTGTAGCTTTCTCTGTCCCATTAAAGATGACATTTTCTGTTATATTTTGCTGGGAGTTTTACTGTTGAGATAATAAGCCTCCAAAACAATGACTGTAAGGGTGTAGGATTTAATGAAAACATGAGTTTGGTGGTGGTGGCCCGTAGAGTATCATGGCTGGTTGGGCCACCGTGACTGTTTGAATGTCTGGTTTGACATGGTCCTCACATGATCATCACTTGTGTCAACATCCCTGCAGTGTTATTGCTGAAAAAAACCTGAATGTAGGATTCAAGGTAAAGAGTCTGCAGATCTTAACTCGTGCTCTAATGTTGGCATCTAGATGGAAAAGCTCATTCTCAACCTGTAGGTTTTTTATAAAAGGTTCCATCTTCTACTGCATCTGTGCCTTGGTGTTCAGTATAGTTGGTGAAAGGTAACCTTGGTTAGATGTGGCTCTGTTTCAGTCTGGAAAGTCTGCACACGTTGTCAGTTTCAGTGAGTTTTGCATTTTCTTTTTGGGCCACTGCAGAGAGATGGGTATGTTCTCCTTCTAACTAGTGAAGGCTGAAATGAAGTCTAAGGATCTCCTCTTAAAAAGAAGGTACTGAGCATTATTAACAGGTAATGGGTTAAAGCTTAACTTTGGAAATACTTTGTTTGCTCGGTTAAAAGTTTTCCTAGAAAATCCTGAAGTGATGGAGAGCGAAATTCCTGACCTATGGCAGGGGCTTTTTTGCTTCCAAAATCTGTCGTGCTGATGTTCAGATGAATATTAAAAGACAAAATTTGTATAGCTTTAACTTACTTAGTTGACTACATGTATCTCAAACTTTTTTCTTTCTTTTTTTTTTTTCCTCCCTCTACTGATTGGTCTCTGGTGGCCAGACTGACTTTTGTCATTCTGCTGTGTTGATTTGGTTCCAATAAGTCCTTATTTGGCTTTTTCAAAAGGTTTATTTGGAGAGGTGCTCTTATTTGTTGTCTTTCCTATCAGCATTCATTGGAAAAAAACCCCCACACAGCAACAGATAATTGAAAGGCACCTGTTTGCTTGTGAAGGAGACAATGTAATACCAAAGAATCTAGAAGGAAGTGGGTTTTGTATTTTATTTATCACTTTCTTTCTATATGCTTCTTTGTTAATGGACAGATCAGGTAAGAAAGGATAGATGCAGTTTTACAAAAGTTTGCTTGTCTCGGTGTATTTTTGTGTAAGGTTTGTAATGTGTTTTTTCACACGTTTGTTTCTTCCACCAGTTCTTCAAGAACTTGGACTTTTGCTAAAAGGAATGTATTGACATGAATAAGGATTGGTTTCTTCCTGTGCTCTTTACTTGAAATATTAAGAGTCTAAGACAATAAACATCTCTTACACACGTGCCAGTGAGAAAAAATAAATTACTAATCTGTGTGAATATGTACTAGGGGAATTTAAACAGGCTATGAATTACAAAACTGATATCTTTTATCTGCAAAAACTGGGTTTTTGGTTTTTTTTTTTTACCTTCATAGTGCAAGATGCATTGTGTGGAATAAGTATTTTCTTGACTTTCGCCTATCTTTATGCTAATACTGGCAATGTACAAAATAGTGACTGTGAGCTATAACAGGTAGCTTGATGTATTATCTTTCATAATTTCTTTTGTGCCCAGTTAGGTCAAATGATGGTCAATACTGGGAGTTTAAGTGGTGCATAAAATGGAAATATGCTGATAGTGCATAGGCATTATGGTCCTAATTTGGCTGTATTTGTCTAGGTACTGAAGTGATCATCCTGTGACTCTAATATCTTATTTCACTTGCAAACCAGTGAAGTGCAGGTCTAAAACTAATTATTGTGTATGTCTGACAGAGAGTTGTGCTGGTGCTGGACTTTTGCATGGGGTAGCCAGTGCAAACTGGCCAGAAGTGCAAACAGTGCCAGAAACTGGACTAGGTGAACTTAAAGAGATGATTGCTGTTATGCCACATCCACCAATCAACAGTGAAACAGTGGGAAGCCAAGCAAGCCATAGTAGTTGTTAGCATTTGCTATGAACTGCCAAATACCTTTTTTGAGATTTTTTTTTTTAAGGATCTTGTCTGGTGGCTTATAGATTCAGAAAAGATTGCTGTTTTTCTGTATACAAATGTATACAGTTAAGAAAAACATATCTGCTAACCAAAGGTATTTGAGTAATGTATAATCTAGCCACACTTTTTATCTGTAATGTAGAAGTCTATAGTCTAACTCCCATGTTTGTTTTTTTTTCAGTGATACGGATTCAGATAGTTCATCGACTACATCTTCCTCTTCGTGTTCTCCTTCAACAGTATCTGATGAAGATGATCGTCCAACTGAGAAGGATAACAGACCTTACTGCGTTAAAACAAAAGATGAGCTGCCTATTGATGTAAGTACAGTGTGTTGTCTTTTAAACCTTTCTCTAGTAACCCAACTTAAAATATTTTAATGTCGTACATTTTTAAGTCATTGCAATACCTAGTGATTGAATGTATGTTTTTACACTAGCTCAGGTGTGTAGCACAGTTAATAATGGGAAATGTCTTAGTTTTTGGTATACTAAGACCACTCTGAAGTGAGGTTCACAGCTCGTGTTAGGTTCATACGAAAACAAACTTCTGGATAAAATTCCGGATATTTTAGTACATTTATAGGTTTTTGTATAATGCAGGTTTTCATCATCCTTTCTCTGTGAGAGACATATTTCAAATATGTTTAACCTTGAAATTTCAAACACTGTATTAAGCCTTCCAGAGGTTCAGATTGCATTGCCTCTGCTTACTTAAGCAAAATTACTAGAGTGGTTGTAGAAGTGGTTTGTATTTGTTTTATTCTGCAATTTCTGTTACAGCACTGTTTTATGTATTGCTGATCAGAACCTTAATTTGCATCAAGATACTGTATTTTGGTTTTGGTTGTCATAAATAACATATTCATTAAGTATTGCTGCCATTATTTCTTGTTATCTCAAAATTAAGAGGTTTAAAAGGAGTGAGTTTTAGTAATAATCTGCTAATGGATGATGAGCTATACATCATTTGTAATGTATTGCAAATAAAAGGATAATCCAACACTGTAATGTCAATTTACACTAACAGTATATGTTTATCTTTATTCTGTAGATCTCTCCCCTTCATAAAAAATGCTTTCTGGAATGAGAAACAAGTCCAGTGAAGGGTACAAGAAATTGTTAGAAAGGTAGAGAAGGAGAAGCTCTGAAGAGCAGATACATTTACCTTTGCTTCCGTGCTCTGTGAGCATTTGTAATGAAGTGCTAGATGACTGTCTGCAAAGGCTGAGGCTTTGGCACACATTAGTGGTAGCAACAACAGGAGATGGGAGTATGTTGTTAGTTCCTAAACTGTTGCTCTACGGAGACACTTGGAGTAAAGAAAAGCTCTTAGGGTATTCTTTTATCACTGAAATTAATCAAAGATTGAGAAACAAACATAATGTTGTGTTCTGAAGGAGTAAAACATCAGAGCAATTCCTGCTTACCTGCACTTTGTTTTGAAGTATGTAGAACTATTATAAGTGCTTCTATGACAATTTTTTTTTTTTACAGCACTGGACTTTTGAACAAAAATCCTTGCCCAAATAGATATACTTACCAGGTTTTATTTACCTTTTATCTAAATTATTTATTTAAATAAAATTTATAATACTCAGAAAATGCTTTGTTGGTCTGCTCTTTTGTCTCATTAGCTTGTTAGCTTTGACTCCAAGCGTGTATAAAATATTGCCTTCCTTTTAAGTACGGGCCTGATTAATTTCATTAGTTCAGCAAGGCTATAGCTTTTTGCCAGTGATAGTTAATAGGAACCAAATTTCTAGCAACTACATTATTTACTGTATCTTGTACTAAGCCATTCTATAGTAATAGAATTAGTCTGTTTTAATTTGAAAATTAAAATGTGTCTGTTAAAAAGTCCCCAATAATAGCTAACTTGCTAAAGCATGGGTCAAAGATAAAATGAAAAATTAAACAAAGTATTTAACCGGAATGTGTGCTTAGTAGGAAAAATGTGCACGTATTAAAGAGTGTTAGTGGAACTATTTTAGAAACCTCCTCCTTTGAAGTGTAGGATTGGCAGATATTGTATATAGTATGACAGATGGTAGTGTTTACCAATTTGAGACTTATGATCAAAATCTTGGCTTTATTCCTTCTGGTCTTTAGCCTTTGACTTGTTCTGGCATCCATGAGTTAGTTAAGTCTTAGCAGCGAAATTGGTAAATGTTGGAAGACTTATTGCCCTGTAGAAGGTTGTGGTGTTTCTGTCTGAATTTGTGTCTTGACTTTAATGTTATATTATAGAATCTGGGAAAGTCTTGGCCTCTGTTTGGTCTTTGAGTTGCTCTAGAGGCCTTTGCCAAGCACTTTTGTTAAGAGTGAAGATTATCAGGTGAAGTTTTGATAAGACAGGATAAGATTCCTCTATTGGAGAGGGGTTTTATTTCTGGTGGTGGCCTTTAAAAGTGCAGTTCAGTGCTAAGATTTAGACTCCACCTCCAAATTCAGATGTTGAATTTAAAGATAATTCTTACTCTAGTTGTCCTTACCTTGCATTTCGCATAGTTCGTATTGAATTCAGAGCAGTACATTATATACGTAGAAATCTTAGTTTATGAGTAAATTGGAGGTAGATGATGAGTTCAGTGTTAACCAGCCTTTGATAGCAGATTTTGATGCTTACATTTGAGGAAAAGTTTAATTTGAATATTGTTTGTGCAGTACTCATTTGTGTATCTGAAGTTTGGTGTTTTTTCACATGTTCTCTATGATTATCCTCACATCCTCCTCCTTATACTTACAGCTAAAAGTAATTTTCTTTGTATAGGTTGTTGCGATCTTTACATCTGTAATGGTCTGAGTCATGGCATAAATGGACAAGCATCATTTTGTTGAATCAGATGATACATATCTTGTATATTTCGTACTATTTTATCTGTACATTTTTCTTCTGTCATGCATTGAGTGTGGTTACAAGCTGTCTTTTTTTCATTACTGATTATTGTGTACATTGAACTTAATTTATCTAACTTGAAAGTTCAAAAAAAAATTAACAAAATGTCTATCAGTTGTTGGTTTTCTCCAGTTGAATAAAACTGGCTTCTACTTTAGTTGCAATGGAAATATGTAGAGTAGCATCTCAGTAGAAAAGGTGTCTTCAAAAGTGACATTCCCCTACTATGAATTAATTTAGAATTATTCTTAAAGAGGCAAATCAAACTAGATTTTTTTTTTTTTTATTAAATCTTCCAAATGCTAGGAGGCTTTTGTGACTGTCAAATTTATGCAGCACCAAAGTGATAAATGTCTTAGTGTGATGAGATTATATTCTGAACATTGACTTGGTATTTTCAGGAACTGCCTCCTGTTGAAGACTTATCAATAATTCTGCCTGATGATGTTGAACTGAAGCTCTTTGGGACAGTTTCCAGCATCATTGAGCAGTTAGGTAGGCGAGATGTGTTTGCTCTGTTATTAATTAAAATAATTTCTGTATACTTCTACATCAATCGTGTACTTAACTGTTCCCTCAAAGTGTTGGTATTGCAGCATTCTATTTCAGGGGGTAGCGGGTTGCTGATTGAGAAGTCATGGTACCAAATGACATTTGTGTTGAATTCCATTTTAGTTGGCTTGCATCTTTCAAAGATACAACTATTGCGCATGTGTTTCTGTGTGACTTTCATGTTCTAATTTTTTCATTAAAATGCTGTATATTATGATCATTATCTTAGTTCTGACAACAATAAGATTGAACAGTCGCAGTATTTTAAGAAATCTTCCAGTTGTATATGCTATATTTGAATTATCTCTGAAGATACAGGAGGTGTGTAACTGAAAGCACAGATGCAGTACAATGCAGTTGCAAGTGTTTGCTTCTTAATATAAGAGGACAGTAAAAAGACTTGTTTCTTTAGCCAGTGTAACAGTGCTTGTTGGGTAATTGGTATATTGTGTTTGATGTTCGTTCTTGTTTTCTCTTTTTTTTTATTATTATTTTTTTAATTCATCCCACTTCTGGCACCTTGACCAAATACAAGCTGCCGGTGTCAGCAGTCGTAGGACAGCATGGCTAACATGATTTATAGGTCCTGTAGGGTAAGCTTAATGGGATTGAGGCATACAATGGATGTAAGCTTAACTGCAGGCGATAGGGATTTAGGGATCCTTTCAGATCTATCTGGGACTCCAGTTTTTGATATGTGAAGTCAAAGTTCTGCTGAAGCTGGTATTAATAAAATATCCATAGTATGTTTGTATTTCAGCTTATTTCAAGTGTTCCATTCTGCTTGAACTGCTTTCAAAGCAATTTGCTTATGAAAATTAGAAATTAAGTTTAATTTTGGAGGTCAGGTATTTATGTTGAGTGGGTACAAAAGAATTAAAGCAAATAGCCTTTCCTATTAAATTTTCTTTTATTGTAAGAGACTCCAGGTAATACAGGCAATTCCTTTACAGTATTTCTGTTGTTGGTTCAGAGTTAGATTTCATTTCATTCATGTGCAGGAAGCTGGCTTGAGAATGTGGAAGGTAGTAATCTGGTCATTGTCCTTCTGCTCTACTTTGCCCTTTCTTGCTTACTGATAATAACGGGGACTTCAAAAAGGCTGTTTTCAGCTAAAAAGATAGTTTGAAAATAAGTTAAAAGAGAAATGGTTAAATCATAGTTTGCAATTATTAGTACAGGAATGTTTAAACAAAGCTGTTTTTAAAGACTTCAGTTTTTAAAACTGTCCTTAATTTCTAATCCTTCTTTGTGTGTATAACCTTTTCAAATCCCATTGGTTTACTGATGGGTGAATTGTTGAGTCTGTATTCTGCTCTGTGTAACTGAAACATATAAAGTGTTGAATTTAGATTGGTTGGTGAAAGTTAGAAAATGGACTAATAATCATGCATGAAATAAAGCTGTAAGGGTGGAATAAAGCCCCAGGATATCCATGTTACTTCTCTGCTTTTGGTACCTTGCTTTATGACTTTCTTTTTCTATATGTTTTCGTTTCTCTTCAGTTCTTCTGGAAGTGGGTGTCTGAGTGGCCTCAATTTCAACTGATTTGTGGCCGTATTACGGAATCTGCCAGCTAATTGTGGGTTGGGTCTTGATTTATGAACTAAATTGATACCTGTGTATACCAGGTTTGTATCTAGTATAAGGGGAGTTGAGGTCTCATTTGGAAATCACAAATATTATTTTGGCACAACAATCACTATCCTGAATACTTTCTGTCCCTTTGATGTATCAGAAATCTCTGCTGTTCTCTGTAGCAAGCTTCCAAGTTCATCACTCTGCAGTGTGTGATACTTGTGAGTTGGCTATTTCATACTGAGGTGAATTTAAGGCTAGAACAGTATAGGTTCATGCTTGCCTCACACTAGCTAAAAGCAAGATGACAGTACTTTCTGTGAACTTTAACTTCTGCTCTGTATTAGAATTTAACAGAACTTCTGCTGTGTTTTGCTTCAAGGTACTTGAAGAGAAGAGAAAAATTCACTGTGTGGGTTGTAGACTGGAAATAAAACAGCTTTGTTATATGTGAGAAACCTGCCCTGGGACTGCACTTTGGGCCTTGCAAGAGTATAGCTGAGGATTTGGGGTGGGTTGGAGTAGGGGGAGCTATAAGTCAAATAGGCTGTAGGTGATAATGTTTCTCCTGGGTTTCATGGGACTGACATGACTTATGTTTTCAGAATATTTTCCTTAGCCTACTGTCAGATGGGGCTATGTGTGATTAATTAAGTTGAGAGCATTCTCTGAGAGTTTTTGGTGTAGTTTTTTTGTTGTGTTTTGTTTTGGGGTTTTTGTTGGTGTGTTGGGTTTTTTTTTAGCTAAGGTATATTTCTCATGAGGGTTAAGCAACACATTAGATTCTTTCACTGTGTATTTTATCTTATAGGTAGGCACAAAATCAGCTGATTTCCTTGTCTTGAAATTCAGTGAACTGTTAAGGCCTGTAGCATTGTCACAGGCTTGCTTGGCATGTCACAAGGCGTTTGCAGATTGAAGTAGTAGCAAAGCTGGAGTTTTAGCTTGATGAGATGTTTATTGCTTTAAGTCCTGTTATCTAAGTTTAGCAGTGACAATCTTGTTAGTTTTTGTTGGAGTCTGAGTAATGCTAAGTGCTTGAGTGACTTTATTTGATGGTGGAGAGGAACTGAAAATGCTTAATGGAGCGTTCTGTTGTTTTAGAGGTAGAAAAGATTACCAAAACCACATATGGGATTACCCAAACCACGACACTTCAGAATCAGAATTTTTGAGTGTAATGCTGCTAGGCCTCTGTATTGACAGATTTAAAGGAAGACATGGTATTTCTGGAGACTAAAGCAACAAATGTGAACTTCTGTAATGATTTCAGTAAAGAGTAAGCTTTTTATGTCTCTGAATCTGGAAAACCTAAAAATGAAGTAGCCTGTATATCAAATCGTGTATACTAAGTGTTAAGATTTCATATTTTAAGCTACTAGAATGACTTGCTCGCTCTGACCACTCATACTATCATTAATCATGCATTAGGCCCAAATGTAGTAGAGACTATTATACGACATTAAATAGCAGAAATGTATTTTAAATTGTGTCTGTATACGTAAATGGCATCACCAGTTGCTAATGTGATTGGACTGCCAGACATCTTTTGTGTTCCTGTCTGATTCTTATGACTTATTAGAGGGAGCTATAACGAATAGCTATCTCCATTCTTTTTTGCAAGGAGAAGTTCATTTGGAATACTAAGAAGGCATAATATACACATGCATCTGCACTCAAAAACACCCCAGGTTATTGCTCCTATGCATTTAGTGAAGAAACATCCTGAGTAAATACAAGAGGTACCTCACACATTCATATCTCAGACTTCTCAGTTGTACCTGTCATCTGGTCTCCTTTCTTTCTCCACCCTAGAGAACAATAATTTTGTAAACCAATGTTAATGTTACCGCTTGCGTCACAGGAGGAGGGGTGTCCAGTTGTAAGTAGTTTAGTGTGTGCGCAAGAACTTTCATAAAGTTCATAGGCGAAGCTCTATGAACTTTAGTAGACAAATAATGGTGCGGTTTGTTAATTTTCTCTGCAATTAACTACATACTGCTATCGAAACATAAAGTTCTAATTGATTTTTTTTTTTCCATTTTAGTAATAATTGAATCACTGAGAGGCCTACCTCCGGTAAATGAGGAAAGTATAATTTTTAAAGAAGATCGGCAAGCAGCAGGAAAGGTGTGTGTAAAGCATAAAACCCACTTACTCTAATACAAAATTCAAAGTATTATTTTATGTTCCAACAAGTAGTGTTGAAGTTGACTAAATGAAATATGTTTCCTTGATATGTAGTTTTTCTTTGTGCTTTTGACTCTTGCTGTAGTCATCTATTTTTTTTTTTTTTTTTTTTTTTAAATCTCAAGAATTCCTAACCTGGAATTCATTGCATCCTTACCGAATGACAATGTGTGGCGAGTTTCCACTATTTTATGAGAGTGCTTATGGAGGGGGAGAGGTTGCTTTCACACATGTAATGTCTTGAATAACAGGCTGTGCTCTTTTATTGCCAGGAGTTGGGGGCAAAGATTGGAGAAATTAGAGTCAAGTTTCAGGCGATATGGCAAATGTTTACATATCTGTGCTCTACTGTTCCAGCCAGCATGTGCTTTATGGAAGTATGCTTGCTGAGAGGGGTATTGCATTGAATTTTGTATGTTTTCTGCGAAAGGAAAACCATCATCTAGAACGGCTACTACTATAATTATCTTTGAATGCTAAATGTAAGTGAAAGAAAAAACCTCAGCCTGAAATTGCAGATGTTCTGTACAACATCTCAGAATTCTCTGCTCTCTACGGAGTTGGGGAACAGATAAGGGAAGTGACGCAAAGGTGTATGGTAAAGATGAACTTTGAGGAATAAATGATGAGGAGATTGTTCCAGGTGTAAGACATTTGAAAGTATAACAGAGAGAGAATAGAGATCTGACAAAAGGAAAGATTGTTGAAGTGGAGGAAGTAGACAGTGAAAGCAGTGCAGTTGGGTGTGCAAAGGCAGCATCAACATGTGAGAAAACTTACTTTTCCACATTGTCTTAAACAGTAGCTGGGGAAATATACTGTAAAACAAAATGTGGTAATAAAACTACAGCAAGGAAGTAACTATTTGATGCTGCATTTTGAAAATATATCAAACTTCTTAAATACAAAGCATCTTAAAACTTCCCAGTTATCTACAATGAAATTAACTACCTGCTCTTGGTGATTTATTTAAACATTTTAATTTTGTTTGTGTTTCAGATATTTGAGATATTTGGTCCTGTTTTACATCCCTTTTATGTTTTAAGATTTAACAGCTCTGAGCACATCAAAGCAAAAGGTATTAATGTGCAAGATAGCATGTATTTTGCTCCATCAGTGGAAGACTTCACCCAGTATATATTTGCAGAGAAACTAAAACAGTGAGTCTGACTACTTTTCTAATCTGGTTATAATGTATTTTTTAACATAACTAAAAATACCGAATTAAAGTTTAGCCTTGAGTGAGAAATTGTAGGACTAAGCTTGACACTAAAACTTCTCTTTTTTAAGATACTCTCAACTGTGTTGTAATAATGAGGTTGTACTGTTTTGCCTTTCAGAACAGTACAGAGTAGCTGCAAACTGCTAGCTTCTAAAGTGATATAATTACTAAAGCTTAGTAGCTTCTTCTTCAATTTAATATATTAAGCTTTATTTCTTTTAATGTTGCTGTTACCTAAAGTATCAGAACCCGAAAAATATTCATTGATACTTCCCTCCCCCACACCCTCTCACATGCATACACATACATCGGTTTTGAAAGCTGAACTTTCCAGATTTTGTTGTTCTTCAGATTCTTGTTTAATTTCATAACTTATAATAAACTTGTTTGAGTTCTGAACAAGTTTTTATTTATTTACTATTTTTTTCATGTTACAAGGCCAGAACTGAAATTAAGTTGTCAGTAAATCTATTATATGTGAAAATTACCTGCTGTAAATTTGGGAGACTGGAGGGGTTTAAGTGGCAACGTAGTATGATGTTCAGAAACTTCTCAATAAGAGTTTGTGTATCCCAGTGTGACTGAGGAAAGTAGCACGTATGAAAAGGACTTGTTGCCATTTAAAAGGAAGTGTTCACAAAGATACTGCATAAAAGATAAAGCACAATAAATGACTGCTAGACAATAGTGTTCTAACTATTGATGGATAATTGTCTGAAATAACTATAGGTTAAAGTCCTTTGTCATACAAGTGACTTAGTCTCGGTTTATTAGGATTAGTTCTCATCTATATTGACTATATTCAGAAAAAAAATTACAGTGTTGGTGTCTGCATTAATTGCAACTCTGCCAGTATTACTACTGAATAATTTTTTTTTCTGTAGTGATGCATGTGTGGCCAGGCCTACAGGAGTCTTCCACCCACCCCACCCCCACGCTCCTTTCCCATTTCTGTGGAAGCAAGAAGCATATTTTTCTTCCTTTCAGTGAAGACCAAAATAGATCACTTTCTCACTCTGCTGCTTGTTTGTTTTTCTGCAGCATTTTGATGCCAGCTGGTCTTTGATTTGTGCCATTAAACTTTGTTGCTTAGCACAGTAACTACACAGACTTTAATCATCTGCTTACTACATCAATAACTGTGTGCTGTACTCAGCATCTGAGACGTGAGATTCATGTTTTAGTTTGTTACATGCTTTGCAACTAGTTTTGGGAACTATTTGTCCTTTGGTAGTACTTTACTATCAAAATCGAACACCAGGTAAGATATTTCACACTTTCATGACTTACCAGCCCAGCTGAACAGTGCATCAGACATAGTTTCTTGCCCTGCATTAAAATGACCAGTGTGAACACCTGTGTAATCTGACATAAACCATAACGTCTGATTAATGTGGCTGAAGTTACATTTCACTGAAACAATATTTTATTTCTGAGTTTTTTCAGTAAATGTTCTTAAGCTTTTGTGAGGCAATAGGTGCTATTTCTTGAAGCTGCCTTTTCACGAAGTAGGTGTTGTTGAAAAGGGGTAAAGAATTTTGATTCCTGATCTGTGCTGTAATGTCTGTATAAAGAAATCAAGATGGTGTGGATAGTAGGAGTGTTGAGCTTTGGTCAGTGCTTCACAAGAAGGGTTTTGAACCTTCAGATTGCGAATTTGATGACCAATGATTTTTATTTTCTGCTTTTTGTTAGTCTGACTGCGTGTAGACCAGCTTGTGGAGTATTACAGGCTTAAAGTTTTAGAACTGCTACTCAAAACTGTGATTGTACTTTGAAAAGAAAAGCAATCAGGATTAAGATCTGAAATTTTGTATTTACAACAAAATAGAAGATGAAACATAATTATCTAGCTAATATTGTATTAATAGAATTGTAGGCCAAGCTTAGAGGTTTTTTTAGTTCTGAGTTCTCTTTGCTATAGATACACTTAAAGCCTGTGTCCTACTAGGGTAGTTCATTGTCCCTTTTAACTGGAGGTATGTATTCTGTAACCAGAAGAATGAGAAAGCATATGACTGTAGTCAGCAGTTAGTCCGCATAAGAAAGTTGCCGTGAACTACCTCAATTCAGGTTCAAAGCAATTTTGATTTAAAAGGATATGTTGAGAAAATATTGATCAAAGCTTAATATTAGCTGTGTGAAGTGTTCAGTCTTCACTCAAAGTAGGAAGATTTTTCAGGTGACATATGTAGTGAAGTTCTATTCACACATTAAAAACAACGTTAAAAACCAAATGCCTCTTTCAAAGCAGCTCCTGGTATAGGACATCTGGTACCTTGAAGAAAGTGTTACTCTATTTGCTACAATACAGTTTTTGCAAATTATTTCTAAACCGGAATATGTTGCTACTACCTGACTCAAGCAAGATGCTTCATAGCCTCCTTACGCCATCTTTCTTCATCTTGTCTAATTTGTGATTGGTTTGTTTTCTTTTAGGGAAAAAGGTTCAGATGCATCTTGGAAGAATGACCAAGAACCACCACCTGAAGTAACTATAGGGTTTTTCTTGTTTATTGTTTTTGATGACACAATATATATGTAGAAAAATTTCTGTGCAGAGTAACTAATTAGCAAGCTTATTTTTTTTACACAGGCAAGAATTGGATGTACCTCTTCACTGAAAAGAAAGTCATGCTTTTCTTGGAGAGGCCACAGTCAGTGTAGAGAGTATTAACTGTCTTTTTCTACTGCTTTTTGCAATTGGGAAAATGTGTATCTTTATCTTCAGTTCCTCTAGTCCTTCTAGAACATGTTTGGCAACCTGAATGTTCAGCTTCAAGTAGCAGTAATTTTACCTCGCCTAATAATTTTGCTTCTGCTAGGGAATTTTTGTCCTTGCTGTTCTTTCACTGCAGCTTTGTCTTTTACCTTGCCACAAGCAATTTTCATTAAAGGCCTGCTGGTACTCTACAAACTGGGCCACTTGGGTGTTTAAGCTGTCTGCTCTGTTAGATTAACTTGACACCTCCTCTGTTGCATTCTTTGAATGTTCCTTAGTATGATTTCCCCACTGTTAGCTATTACAAAACACTAGTTTCATGAGAGGAGATGAGCTTCTTCCATATGAAGGCAGTCATGCAGGATGATGTAGAAGTGAGAGCTCCTTATGACCATTGACATCATTTACTGTAGGATCTGTAAAGATTTCTTCAATGACAGCTAGGCTTCCTGTCCAGTGCTTCTTAACTCCAGTCTAATTATACATTTCATGGCTATTCTCCTCAATAAGAATCGCAAGGCTGATAGTTTTATTGAGGTGTTTTCATGAGATTTGTTTTTTAGCTCGACACTTGAGTTGCTTTTCCTTGCAATTTCTGCTTTAAGCCGGTCTTATCGAAAATAGCTGAAATTTCTACAAGCCTTGTGTCTACCATAGTATCCTGAAAAGATCTCTATCTGCTTATTTTGAATATTCCAAAAGCTTGCATAGTTAGAATAGTTCTAAGATACGTAGTACGTGCTTCTTACTCCTTAATTAAGTAGGAAAGGTGTTTTGTTTTTTTTAGTGTTGTAATAAACAATTTTTAGACTAGACTATTTCATTTGGAAGGGACCCACAATGATTATCTAGTCCAACTTCCTGACCAATTCAGGGCTGACCAAAAGCTGAAGTATAGTGTTAAGGGTATTGTCCAAATGCCTCTTAAACACTGACAGTCTTGGAGTATCGCCCACCTCTCTAGGAAGCCTGTTCCAGTGTTTGACCACCCTCTTGGTAAAGAAATGCTTCCTAATGTCCAGTCTAAATCTTCCCTGGTGCAACTCTGAACTATTCCCATGTGTCCTATCACTGGATACCAGGGAGAAGAGCTCAGCCTCTCCCTCTCCATGTCCCCTCCTCAGGAAGCTGTAGAGAGCGATGAGGTTGCTCCTCAGCCTCCTTTTCTCCAAACTAGACAAGCCCAAAGTCCTTAGCCACTCCTCATAGGACATTCCTTCCAGCCCTGTCACCAGCTTTGTTGCCCTCGTCTGGATGCAATCGAGGACCTGAACATCCTTCTTAAATTGTGGGGCCTAGAACTGCATGCAGTACTTGAGATGAGGCTGCACCAGCACTGAGTACAGCAGGATAATCACCTCTTTTGACTGGCTGGTTATGGTGTGTTTGATGCACCCCAGGATGTGGTTTGCCCTCTTGGCTGCCAGGGCACACTGCTGACTCATACTGAGCCTGCTGTTGACCAGGACCCATGGGTCCCTCTCTGCAGGGCTTCTCTCCAGCCGCTCTCCCCACCAATTTATACTTGTGCCCAGCATTACTCAGTCCTAGGTGCAGAATCTGGCATTTCAACTTGTTAAAATTAATTAATTCATCATTGCCCAATGCTCCAGTCTATCTAGATCCCTCTGCAAGGCCTCCTGTCCCTCAAGAGTCAACAGCACCTCCCAGTTTGGTATCATCAGCAAACTTGCTAATTCAACTCCTGCATCCAGATCGTTGATAAATACATTGAACAGAGCTGGCCCTAGAATCTAGCCCTGAGGAACACTGCTGGTGACTGATCGCCAGCCAGATGTAGCCCTAGGGATTTGCTCTTTGAGCTCTGCCCTTCAACCAATTCTTCACCAAGTGCACCATGAACCTGCTCATCACACAGTTGGACAACTTGCCCAGAAGGATGCTGTGAGGGACAGTGTCAGTTTTTGCATTCACAGTCCTTATCCCAGGCTGGTTGTTCTGGCTTGAAGGAGAGATGTCGTGACATGAGCTTTTCTATGCTTGAAAATAGGTCCTGTAATGACATATCGTTCTGTCAGCCCAGAATGTTGCTTTTTCCACTATGGTGAGGATGATGCATTCTGAAATGCCTTTTTTTTTTTTTTCTTCTTCCTTCCCACAAACGGAACTGAGCTGAACAGTGTTAACTTTTCTCAAAGGATGTTTGTGTGTCAGTTCTGACTGTAAATAGCCTTTCTTTATTGGGGAGACAACATCTCACAGAGAATGATCATTTGAGAATTAGCGGTGTTGCATGGAATTGGACTGTAGGTATGTGATCTGTAGAGCTTGGAAAGTCTGTATACTTAGAAACTTTTGGCTAGTTCTTAGCTTTCTTTTATCGAACAATTTTCTAGTGATGATGATATAAAATGTGCTTATTGGTTGATGGTGAGCTCATTTTTTGTTTCTTAGTCATATTTGTAAAGCTGTATGAGATTGTAAATGTGTAATTTGAATTTGTAGGAAGTTAAGTAACTTTGAAATTTGGCTAATGCAGTCAAGCAGTGAAGTCTGCTGCAGATATAGATTCATTGCTTTTTCCAAAGTTGGTATTTATTTTTTTATGATTTTTCTTAATTATAATACTGTTACCTTCAGATTAGAATCTGAAAGTACTGGGGAACTTTAGGTTTACTGTACTTCACTATAGGAAGGAAGTCTGAATGAACTCAGTGATGGCAAGGATGGGCAAACTTGATTATATTTTAAGACGCCTTTGTTTCTGTGGCTGTTTTGACTTGGGTATGTCTGAGTGCTCTGTTTTGGAGAAAACGCCACGTCTAAGATCTTGTAATCCTTCATTAGAATAATCATTGGATAGCTCTAGCAGTTAGAGTTTACACTAAGATACCCAAACTGTGACAGCTGATGAGCTGATAGAAAGTGGCTTTTGCTGTGAAGGTAATAGCTGTTGACAAGGGTGCAGATTAAATTTAATGCTACTGATGCTTGAAATTGTCTCTTACAGCCAGAATCTTTTAGAGCCCTCAGCTGGCAGCTGATTCGGTAACTTTTCTGGCCAGCTCCTGCAGTAAACTGTGTGCAATTGCTGGAGTCAGTTCTTGTGATACTGTGAAGCTTTATTTTTGTATGAATGTTAAATTAATTCGCGTTGGGCCTTTTATGCTTGCTACTTCAAGGTATGTGGTAAGTGTTCCTTTTCTGACGGCCTCCTAATTAGCCCAGCTTAACTGTAGGCTCAGTAATAAAATCTCTCTTGGCCTTGTCTTTGGGGTCATGGGAGGACAAAGTGTGATCTGTATGCTGCAAGGCTAGCAGGAGCAGATAACTGTGATTTCTCTGTGAGGCAACTTTTATGGAGTGTTACGTTGAAATTAGGTAGCAACAGAAGGTACCTGTTGTTTGTTATTTCTGCTCTACTGGAGGATGGCGTATTGAAATCCTTAGAAAAAGCAGGAGTTAGTGAAAGATTTTACTTCATCGTATCTATCATTTTGTTGTATTTCTTGGGGCTTTTTTGAGTAAGAATATAATCCACTTAAGTAAAAGAAGAAATAGTTCTATTCAGAATGAACTTTCACATGGCTTTTTTAGCACTGTTTTAGTGCAGTGTTTTTGAGATCCATGCTCTGTATATACTATAGAGATACATCACTAAACAGCAAACCCCTGCCTTTCAGAATTGGGAGGGGCAGGGTGGGAACAAACCTTTAAGTCATATGACCAAGCTGTTTTTCAGGGAACTAATTATGCTGACAGATTTTTTTTTTTTTTTCCTGTGACTAATAACTTTTCCTCATTCTAAATGTAAGCTATGATTCAAAAGGTAGCAAAACCTTGTGTCACAGGAACAAAATGTTGCAGTGACATTGAGTCTATTGTAAATGACAACAGTGTCCAAAGCTGAAAATTCCTTTGGAATAACATTGCTATTTCAGGTTTAACAGGAAAAGTGTTATTAAATATACTACAGAAAGCTCCAATTTAGTCACAATTTGGGACTAGAGATTTTTTTAATGTAGTTCAACTGTGCTGAGTTAAGTATTGATTGCCAAATTAATTTTAACTTACTTTAAAATCCATATTTTAATTCACCTAGTCTGCAGTTTGCCCTTTGAAAGCTTTTTCTTGGCAATAACTAGGCAGCTGCCTCATATTCCCAATTTTTTTTTCTTACATCTAGGCAATCAAAAATTTGTGTTCAGCACTTGAATCTCGCTGTTTTTAGGAAAATTAGAATAACTGAGTATTGTATAATTGTCTTATGAGAAATTTGTGGAATGGTAAGTTTTTGATTGTTTTGAGAAGCCAGCTGAACACACCATGTCTCTTTGAATGCAAAATAGGGAGGTGCAGCTTTAATATTCTTCTAAGCTGACTGCAGGATGGATTGTTTTCTAAATAATGATTTATTGCTAGAACTGAAGTTCTCTGTACAGTCTTTATATGGCTTTGTTCTCCTTTTTTTTAACCAGGCCTTGGATTTCAGTGATGATGAAAAAGAAAGAGAGGCAAAACAGAAGAAAAAGAAGCCTCAAAGTCAAGGAAGGAAGAAACTCAAATCAGAAACAAATCCATCAAGTGAGTGAATGCTATGGGAGAATGCTTTTATCCGTTAAACTGAGTTTGAAATACATAATGATATCTATCTTAATGATTGAGCTTTCATACACTTATTCAGTATTTCTGTGCTTTTCAAAGTTATATTCATGAATTTGTGCCTATGTCCTTCAGCTTTTTTAAAAGGAAAATCAAGGTTTTTTTCAATTAAACTGTGTAAGGGAAGTAGTATAGGAGCAGGACAGTTGTCAGAGGAAATTCAAAGGCTTTTACAACAGTGTCAGCTGACAGACAGTGAGGATATAGAACAAATGCCACCTTTTGGAGTTTGAGGTTGCTTATTGTAGAGGTTATTTGGGCCCAAGTTCAGCTTAAGCCTTTGAGTGCAGGGAGAAGATAAAGGAAGGCCATGTGCAATTTTTGGAAACCCATTTTTTTTATAATCAGGGAGAAGATACAAGTCTTAGATGGGGAATTTATTCCTCTGTCTGAAAAGGAAGCTCTTCCTCACCCATGGCATATAAATACACCTTTAAAATAACTTTACTTGTGTAGTCCACTGAGAACCTCTCTGTTTACCTAACACAGTCATTAGATAAACCTATGGTAGTTTAATAAACTATGTATATTATAAAGAACTATACATAGTCTTCTTCACCTTCCTTTCTCCTGCTGTTGACAGATCTGTTCCTGTGCTCTGTTGGCAATAACCTGTCTTCTCTCATGCCTCTTACTGACAAAACTTTTTGCTTTTTGGTTGCTATTTTGGTTGAATAATTTAAATTGCATCCCTGTTTTTCTGTTCTCAGTCTGCTTCTGTTGCGTGCTTTTTGTACCCCTGCCTTTCACTATTACTGACTCTCATCCCCTTTGCTCTTCCTCTGCTGCTTACATACAAGATTGCTTCAACTGTCTGCAGCACAGTGCGTCCCCCCATCACTTTTCTTGGACTGACTCCTTCTGTGAGTTTGCTGCTCTTCCTTCATAAAGCTGCGAGACGTTGTGCCCCACTGAACCCGTTTTCTCTTTATCTGGGAAGTCAGTAACTATCCTGTTAACCGTTTTACTCTGCGTACAGTACTTCCCTCCCTTGTACCCTTTAAATAAAGCTGCAATCTTTCTTGGACTGGCTTTTGCCCTATGGTTTTGACAGTTCTCCCTTAAGGGAAGGATCTAAATTGTGCCATATTTTCCCTTCATTGCTGGAGATTTTCTCTACCAGTTTCTCCTTGTCTTGCATACGGCATGTTTTCCACCGTATTCTTATTCTGCCACCTTATTGCAGACCTGCCTTTGCCTAGGGCTTGCTGAGGCTGTTACTGAACTATGTTCACTAACTGAGAACACAACGGGAGGACCTATCTCAATCTGTCAAGGGAGTATGGGTTATGATTTGCTGTGGTTTTCTGTAAATAATGTGGCATAAATTGACATTGTGTGCAATTTAGTTTGGCTGTGGAATTCAACAACAAGGATATCTGACAAATTGAGGCACAAACTCAGTCTCGGCTGGAGTTTTGCTTGGTTGCATCTTCATAAAACTCCGAGTGTGTTAAAATTGGCTCATTGCTATAGTCTTTGATAGGAGAAGAAAGAACAAAAATATTCACTCAAGTACTTTCACTTCAGTCCTTCTGAGAGGACTGCATGCACCAAAGGAGTCTAAATCCTAATCCCCTGTAAAAATTAGTAGGAATTCTGGTATCCAACTACCTTTCTAGATTTAGGTTTTCAAAGGTCAAAATGTTTCTATGTAGTTTAGTACCAAGTATTAGGTCCACATAGGTTCTTAAAAGCCAGTGATTTTATTCAGTGTTACGCGCCTAAATACCTTTTTGCTTCTAGCCCCAAAATCCTTTAGAGATTATGTTTTGGTTTAAATTCTGTAGCCTTTTGAATATCTTAGCAGGTCTTTGAAACATTTTTAATATTTCAGTGTTCTTAATTTTACAGCGCTTATCCCTTTATTATTTTTATGGTGTATATATAGAAAGTGGCAGTACATTTGTTATGAACCTTAAATATATACTTACAGTGACCTGTACTGGGAAAAATTCATCTTTGAAAGATGAATGATGAAAGCTAATTGGCTAAGGCTGCAGGCTGCCTTTTTTCTGGTAGAGTAAGTTAATTTTGTTAATTTGACTTTGAATAATTTATTGTGTCCTGTGTCTGTGCTGTAATATAGCATCATAGAATGGTTTACGTTGGAAGAGACCTTAAAGATCATAGAGTTCCAACCCCCCTGCCATAGGCAGG